GTGGTGGGGGTCCGGGGGTGAAATGGCTACCCCGGCTTGGGCTGCGGGGCTACCCGCCTGACAACCCTGGACGCAATGAGGTACGAATTATGAATTGGGGACCAAAACAAAGATCAACTGCAAACGGTCTAACCGAAGGTGCTGGCAACAGAGGTACAAATGCGAGGGGGTGTTGGTAAAAGGGGTGCAGTGTGAGAATCAAGGGGTGTTGGTACGAGCCTATGAGGGGTGCAGGGTGAGATGGATCACTTGACACAGGAACCGACACAGCAGCCATAGATGTGGCATGGAAAAGGGAAACAGAAAGAGCCGAGGTATGGTACGAGGAGGTTAAGGGGTCTGAGAAACAACAAAGGGGCGGCAAGCCATTTGTGTCCAACGAGGGCGGAAGTGTCGTCTTGTAGACAGTTACTGTAGTCTAGCAAGTGAAAGGACTATATTGAGACCAATGGGGTGCCACTGGAGATTTCAAAGTTGCCGAACCCAAAAACCCTAGCAGGGTGCACCAGCCCGCCGAAAAGGGCATGATCAACAACACCTTCGTACACGTGATCAAGGGTAGAATCAATGCATTTCCAGGGCCAAACCGCAAAATTGAATGTTGATTGCCCACATATTGTACAATAGAGATGATGATGGTGAACGGCAGCAGAAAAGTATCATGATGCATGTCAATGCTGTCGTGGCCGTCGATGTGCAGTATGCACCGGCTGTCTAACATAGAAGCGTCGAGAACGACGAGAAGGCAAGCAAACAATTGCATACTAGATATTTCGCTATTCTGTATAAGGGACGCTGGACCCGGTTTCCAACCGGTGATACTCCCCACCAATAGACTGGAGTCTCAACCAGGCGATTAGGAATGGCTGCTCTTATCACCATTCCTAATGACTTCAGTTGTGTTTTTGTTATTAAAAAAAAAGGTTAGTGAGGGGGTTCATACCTGGTTCAAGGGCTTGCTGATCAACACCTCACAGTTGCAACTCAGATCGCCCTATCAACATAATGGTGTTAAGATGACAGAGTCGTTGCTTTTACCAACCTCTTGTAGAATACAATTAAGCATTCCACTCTAGGTGTGCAAGCCAATCAACAGAATGAGAAACAAAGGTCTGGCGGTTTGACATGTGAGCATTGTATAGCCTCTTGGAGAATACAATTAAGTATTTCACTCTTGGTGTGCAAGGCTGCAAGCCAATCAACAGAACGAGAAACAAATGCCTGGCGGTGTGACATGTGAGCATTGCATAGACTCTTGGAGAATACAATTAAGTATTCCACTCTAGGTGTCAAGCGGAAGCTTGATATAGCCTCTGCCATGCCAGCGGCAGGAAATCTCTTGAGAGGGATAGGGAGTATTGGGACAGCCCCTTGATTATTCCTTGATTATAGATTCATTGTTGATGAGTTGTGGGTGTGGACGTGATACTGGTAGGCTGTTCTCTGGCGCCCAGGGGTGCTAGGGGGCAGGCTATGCATGTGTCAAACATGGTCCGTGCGGCTTACCTTTTGGTGTTATGGCAGTTGCTGGCAGAGAAGCTGGTCTCGGGTCGAGCTTTCGGGCTTACTTCACGAGTGGTCTCTCTACTTAATCTCCACATCATGGTCAAAGTGGATCTCGCTCAGCATCATGACTTGAGTCGGCATGCACTGACCCAAGACTCATTTCTCTGGAAGGCCTGGATGTCTTATTTTCATGTACTCAGCTTTGAGCCCACCCCCCCTGGCCCCCCTTTAACTGACCCCCCTTCCCTCCCATCCCTTTGTTTTCATGGTCCCTAGGGCAGCATGGTGGTTTGGCTTGGGGAGTGTATTAGGAATTTAGGAGTAGGTGTGTAGGACCAACAGCAGAAATAGGAGATGAGGTCTAGGGCAGGGATGGATGGGGTCGACAGACTCGACACCATATATGGTCGTAATACACCCTGGTCGTAGTCTTCAGAACGCGGATCTGGACCTGAAGTCCATTAACGTCAACAGCCTGGCCACCCACAATCCAGACAAGACCCACACAATGGGACCAGCTCCGGGGGGTGGGCGGACGGAGCTGGCCGGACGTGATAAAAATCATCTACGAGGATAGGACAAGAATATAAGATTTTCAAATGGACCCACTGAAATGGAGACGGTCCACATCTGGCTCGACAAGGACCCATGCATCGCACCTCTGACTCCACAAAGTAACGGTCAAATCAACAAACGAACTGAGCCACCAAAAAAATGGATATAAGGGAGAGAATCAGAGAACAATGGGCCAGGCATTTTAATATTGATACAAATGATCTACAGAGGATCAAACTTTTTACTTGCGAGTAGTAGTGACGAAGTAAACATGCGGAGTCGGTAGCCCTACAATGGCAGATTGCTCACAAAAATTTAATGTCTATCGACAAGAGATTGGCTCATAGTCTCATAGACCAGTTTCACTTGGAACAGAAAGGGTTTCTCTTACTATACTGCAAACATTGCCTGACAACTTTCCAGCAGAGGGAAATCGGAGAAACACAAGAACAGTGTCACATCTTCCTCTCCTGCCCAAGGGCAGATGTGGGACAACCTTTGGAGATGGCTAGCGGGGAAGACAAACTGGCCATGGGACTGGAGATCCATACTCCTTGCTCACCACCCAAACCATTTAGGGACGAACTCATAGACAATTGGTAGCAGATAGGGAGAAAATCATTACTGTGGAGAATGTGAACAGCAAGATGCACCTACGGATGGGAAGACGTTCAGACGGATCACAGGAGAACATCATATACTATATCCAAACATTCATCTTGGGAGAATGACAAGAGACGGTGGACAGTATCAAGCACCTGAACGATCACACCGAAAAACAATTGAAAATCAATCAACTCTGTGACAAATCGTTGAGTAACCCATAGCCCAGGGAGATAACACGGTGGGAGGGGGAGGTATCGATACCCCGAGGGGTTTGTCTGAGATTTGCAGATTGGACCGATTTTGATTATACATTTCACATGAGGCTAGCCACAAATTCATGGATCCATTCCCCCCCTCCGACAACAACATGGTAGATTTACCGTGGTAACCTTTTGGGGGGGGTTTAAACTTTAAACCAACCTCAGTAACATGCAAAGGTAGGCAACCAGCCAGGATTTCAAGTGGACAATTTAAACAGGTGGCTTGAAAGCAAGCTGATAAGGCAGGTCCCCACGCAAATCAGTTCTGTCTGTTCGTATGGGCTCAAGATGAGACTATCATCAGGTACGAACCATGCAAAATCTTGTTTATGTAATACTGCGATGCTGGACACGTTGTTTTTTTCCGGCTGGTGCAGCTCCCCACCAATGGACTGCAGCCATCCTTCTTTTCCTTTCTTAAAGTTTCTTTCTTTTTTTTGGGTAACTGCTACTCTCAATTGACATGGTTGTCTCACCACCTTCGGTTAATGAGATAGGGTGAATTAAGGAAACAATTAAATACATAAATAAATAATACATAAACAAATAAATAGAGAAGTAAAGAATGGATGCAAGAAATGAGGTGCTGAACCAGAGAGAGAGAGAGAGAGAGAGAGAGAGAGAGAGAGAGAGAGAGAGAGAGAGAGAGAGAGAGAGAGTTCATGTCATCCCACCTTCGATTAATGAGATAGAGAGTGAGTTGAAGTTCTTCTGAGCTAGCCACAATGTTGAACAGTGGTCCAGAAAGGTCAGTTGTTGAAAGAGGTCCTGCACATGGGGAAAAAAAATATCATCAAACTGTTTTATATCATCTGTCCTTATCACCACACTATCGACTAGTCATGATGCTGAGAGGTTGTTGGGACAGTAGGGCGCTCAGTTAATGCCCCGAAAGACCCGGGGCAATCAATGCTGGCAGGATCAGATGTCTCATTTGGTTGTCACACACTCTGTGTTGACGATTTCTGTATAGGGACGCTGGAGGCGATTTCCAGCAGGTGCAGCTCACCACCAATCGATGGCACAACCACGGGCACCTACTAGCGGGGCTGCTCATATCACCCCCCCCCCTAGTAGCGGCTACCGGTTGGTTTTGTAAAAAAAGAAAAAAGGTTGTTGGGTCATAATATCACTTCAATCCTTTGCAATCATTTGCCTGCGCTCAAAGGTCTCTTCCATATGACCCCCTCCGAGGGATGCTGGGCATGCCAACCCAACCATGGTCATTGTCCTCACTACCGTCACCATCATCTTTATAAATTATTCTTCACCATCGGCATCATCGCCCCCTGCTTTGTTCGTTCCAAAGAATTTGGCCCTCGGGCACACACTCCAATCAGCCTCCAATTTCTTTCGTCTAAACAAACGTCCGACGAGGTTGGCATTTCAGATCAGATGAAATCCCCCATATGTGGACAACCATCACTAGAGAGATAGAACTCCGATTTTGACTACCGTCAAAGCAAGGGGGTACATGACCATACATCCTCCTCGAGTCCTTGTTCTTCTCCTTCTCCACTTCCTCTACTTTGATCTTTTTTTCTTTAAATTGCCGCCTTCTGGCAAAACTGTCAAATCATCATCACCATTGACATCAATATTAGAATTTGTATTGCTTTTCCTTTTTCTCTTTTTCCCATTCGATTGTCACTTGGCCATCATTTAGGGTAGGAAATTTTTGTCTTCCCCTATTTCTTTCCTTTCTCCCCCACCCCCCCCCATTTCTTTCCTTCTGTCTTCCTTCCCTTCTTTCTTCCTTCCCTTCTTTCTTTCTTCCTCCTTTTGTTTATTTGTTTGTTTATTACTTACTTTCTTTCCTTCTTCTCTTCTTTCTTTCTTGGGGTAACTTCGGCGCAGTCACGAAAATAGTTTGAAATTGCACTTCAGGCAATCCCCCGAACACAGCACACCCCACGTGACCCCACCTGTCCCGAAACCTAGGTTATATACATTCACCATTACCGGCCCTTTTGCCTCAAGTGCATTTTCAAACTCAAACCGTGACTGCACTGTAGTTTTCTCTTCTTTCTTTCTTTCTTTCTTACGTTTTTTCTATCTTTCTTTCGATTAACTGACATTTTGTGAAATTTGAAAAAAAAAACATTGCGTGCCCAAATTGAGACGCAAAATTTACAAGTATTTTTTGGATACTTTTTTCATTCTGTCAGCGGTCGTATGGAAGAGCATATTATGACGGAAGGGTATTCGAGTTTGATCATTCTCCAGCTAGCACATACTAATGTGGTCATAAAAGTGACCAAATACATCCAATAGAGTGTCCTTGAGCATACCATGCTGCGCATATGGTCGCCTTAGGACTCCCAATGCTCAACGGGGGATGCTGTGCAAAAACAAAAGAAAAAAGAAAAAAAAAAAAGGGGGTGGTCGCCTTAGGACTCCCAATGCTCAACGGGGGATGCTGTGCAAAAACAAAAGAAAAAAGGAAAAAAAAAAGGGGGGGGGGGGGAACCTGAATACTAAATAGGTTTTTAAAAAAACTCAATTTGGACACGCGAAAAAAATAAATAAATCACATTTAACGAAATGTCTATTGATCCTTTCTTTCTTTCTTTCTTTCTTTCTTTTTTCTCTCTTTCTCTTTTTCTTCCTTCCTTTCCTTTTTCCTTTCTTATTTTCATCCTTCCGCCTTTCTATCTTTTCTTTATGTCCTTCTTTCTTTCTTTCCTTATGTCCTCATTTCCCTCTTTCTTTATGTCCTTCATTCTTTCTTGCTTGCTTGCTTTTTTTCATTTCTTGTTTCTTCTTTCTTTCTTCCTTTTTCTCTTTTCTTTTTCTTTTATTCATTCATAATTCATTTATTATTTCTTTCTTTTTTTTCCTTTCTTTTTCTCATTCATTCATTCTTTTTTTCTTCCGTTCATTCATTCATTCATCCATTCAGTATTTCTACGTTTTCCTTTTCGCTCTTCCATTCTTTCCTTCTTTTTTTCTTTTGTTCCTTCCTCCTTTCTTTCTTTCTGTCTTTCTTTTGTTTCCTCTTTTCTTTCTTTCCATCTTTCTTTTTGTCTTTACTTCCCTCTTTTTTTTATTTTTATTTTTTATTTTATTTTTTTTGTCTTTCTTCTTCCTTTTCTTCCTTTCTTTCTTTCTTTCTTTCTTTCTTTCTTTATTTATTTATTGTCTTTCGTTTTTTTTTGGTTTTTTTTTACGATTATTATTATTATTATTATCATTATATATTATTAACCAAAATGAAGTTACCTTTCATTTTTTGTATTTGAATAGGTTTTGTTTTGGCTTTTTTTCGAGGTTTCTGAAGTTTAATACGTCAGCTTTCAAAACAAAAACTGAATTGGAATCAATCGTTGGAGTAAAAGGATTCGAACCTTCGCATGTCGGTATAAAAAACCGATGCCTTTCCACTTGGCTATACTCCAATGAGATAACGCGGCCGACCAACGGAGATCTTCTGTGTTCAAATATACGATCGACCCACATTCTATTCTAATATAATTTAAATAGATTAGTGACATTGTACAAGCGCTCTGTTGCTTGCCTCTCTACTATACTTGCGGAGCAGCCCACGACCTCTTACGGGCCCATCAACAAAACGAGAACATACAATACAAAATGAAAAACGAATGGTTATTTCAGATTGCCTATATGGATGTTGCATTTATTATTTATTATTGTTCATATTATTACAAGTGGACCCGCCGCAACGACGCTGGGGCCGAGAAGAGGGGGAGGGGGAGAGAGGGGGAGAGAGGGGGAGAGAGGGGGAGAGAGCCATGCAGGTGGGAGGCAGAGAGAAGGCGGAAGACGCGGGAAGACATGTTGATGTGTTGTCAAAAGGGGCACCCAAAGAACAAAGGGGATGATATATTGATGTAATGTTATAGCCGGCCGTCAAGAAAGAAAGGAGACGAAAGTCGTTCGTAATCCTCCCGCCCAATCCCTTATTAGCCTTCCTTCCTGCTGATTCTTCTCCTCTCCTTCGTGGTTTTAACCTTAGTTTTCTTGAAATGTCATGTGTTTGTGCCTTTCCCAAGCGACGTTTTGATATTCCTTTTGTTGCTCTGTCGTTTGTCTGTCATCCTATCGATCGAAGTACCATCCAACCGACCACCGCGTTGCGGACTTGGCCGTTGCGAACAAATCTCCCCTGTGCACTCGTCCTGTCGATGGAGGTGTGTGTGTGTATGGGAGAGAGATAGTCAATCATCGAAGTCATGAGACACACATGTGCGGCCACATCTGGCAGTGTATATTTCGACATTCCACTGAAAGAATTCATTTCCAACGGGTAAGTCACATAGCATTTCCACCAAAAGGATGACTCAAATTGAATGAACCCACCGTTATAACATGGAAAAATACAATTGTTTTTGTTTGTGTGTGTGTGTGTGTGTGTGTGGGTGTGGGTGTGTGTGTGAGAGAGAGAGAGAGGGAGAGAAGCTCGTGGATGGTTTCATGGTGGTTGCATGGATAAAATCGACAAAACGGGCTGAATGCTCTCTCTCTCTCTCTCTGTGCGTGTCCTCTCTCTCTCTCTCTCTCTCTCTCTCTCTCTCTCTCTCTCTCTCTCTCTCTCTCTCTCTCTCTCTCTCTCTCTGTGTGTGTGCCACAACGGGCGGGTGCAAGTGCCGGTGCATATTTCCATGTTGTACGAGGAGATTCGTTCGATTTTGCTCGTTCTCTCCATGGAAGTACCATGAGCTCAACCCCAATATTGGAAACTTACCTGTTCTCTCTCTCTCTCTCTCTCTCTCTCTCTCTCTCTCTCTCTCTCTCTCTCTCTCTCTCTCTCTCGTCTATTCGATGTCGGTGAGGAAGTGCACAGGGATCGACCTGAGCAGGATGGAGGAGGCAGAAGAGCACAGGCAGGTGGATCCGAGGGGAGTTGCTGACGGCTATGTTGCACGCCCGGCTGCGGTCGAGGGGGGGGAAATCGGTCGCGGCCTCGGCCGACGGCCGAATCGGCCAGGTTCGGCCACGGCCGACCAGCCGAGTTTGGTGCAGGATTTTTTATTTTTTTAACGCATAAAATATATATATCGTCAAATAGAACTGCCCGGTAAACCGTAGGCAGAGAGGGAGAAGAGGACAACAAACGAGGGGCTGTGACAAACTGTTTCGTCGGAGTTTCACCGACTCATCAGGAGGCTGAATATATGGGCGTATAGGGCTAAAAAAACCCTACACGCCCATATTTTTGGGGGGGGGCATTGTTGTTTTCTATTGCGTAACAAAAAATTAAAACAGAAAAAAGAAAAAAAAGAAAAAAAAAACGCTTCGAAACCCG